TGTCAGGGATGGGAAAGAACAAAAGCGTCTGGAACTCGAGGGAGGGCTTGATTCAGGGCGTGGGCGGGCTTTCTCTTGGGGCCGAGTGGACGTTCATCGACGTTCTGACGACCGGGGGAGCTTTGAAATCAGGTTCCGCCAGCGCGCGAGAAGGCTTCGTCGCTGGATGCTGGTCTCGCTCCAGTGAGTCCTGCCATTGGGAATTTGGTTCACATTCAGATCGTTCGCGTGGACGGGCGATGTGGAGAAGGATTCTGGAGGTTTCCAGAGTTCATTGGTATATCTAGGAGATGTAGCGTGGAAGGGTTTGATGATTCTTGGCTGACCTGCAGGGCCCCAGCGACCCAGAAGTGGCACCTGCAGATTTCGATTGGCGCCGCCCAGGGGCAGGCTGATCCGTTCATAGGAATGTTCTTCGGCTTCTGTCCCAAAAGATGCGCGCTGCGCGTTGTCGACGTCGTCTCGCGTCTTCTCAGGGTCTCAAACCACCGTCGTCGTCGTCGCGTTCTCGGACATCCGTTTTGCCTGCCACTCGACGGCCCGCGAATTATTGGCCGGGGCCATGATTGCCAATCAGATCTCGGGAGAACCCCTCTCCTGCGTTTTCAGGTGGCGGCGACATCTTCGAGCTTCGATTGGAAACGACCAGGTAGGCAACGCCGGGCCGTTAGATGTCAACCGAGGGAGCCGCCAAGGAGAGATCGAGACACTGCATCCTCGCGCCGCTCTTCCAGGAGTGGCGCCTCGACCCCGTGGGCGTCTTGATCCGTGGCGTTCTTCCGACGTCCCCATCAGCGCCGACAGCCGTGTTCTAGTGGAAGAGTCTCGCGCGCAACTCAGGTGCGTGACTGCTCCGTTGCATGCTTTGTCAGCGGGCTTCAGTGTCAAACTCAAGGAATGGGAGATTCCGCCGGGCGTGGGTGTCGCAGACTCGCCGGAGAAGCTAATTGCGCGCGCGCCGCAGGGTGACCTGGCCATGCGGTCCAGGGGTCGTCGTCGAGAGCATTGTCTCGCCGTTCCTGCAGGGCCGCGTTGAATTTGGGCTTCCTTCATCTCCCACGCACTCGAATAGACAATGGGAGGCCCTGGAAGGCTGGAGCGATGCCCCGAAGGTCTCCGGCGAGCAATCTCTATGACGTGGCGGCCTGGCACCCGAGCGAATGCGCCCCGCGCCGGACCAAGGTTTGGGGTTCATGGGGCGAGTTCGGGAAAGCGAGTGGGATGGGCGGGGGGAAAGTCACGTATCCGATCTGATAAGTACATTGCGAACCGGATCAAAACAACGCAGATAACCCAGGCACGCCGCTCACGGAGAAACTGATTCTTCGTCTGGGAGGTTTGCATCTCGATAGGGGAGCCGGATAGAGGCCGCTGATCTCTTTGATGCCGCGCCCGGGAGGATCGCGAAGTCGGGGTCGCCATGCGACGCCCCGATCGCGCCGTCTTGGGGAGCGCAGAGGGTTCTTTTGGACATTCCGGAGCTGTGGCAAACATGCTCTGGCACAGACGCAGACCATGGCATATTTCTTGCAGGGATGGAGGGAGCTTTGCAAGTCGGACGGCAGAACTCAGGGCCGATCACCTTGCCGAGAGTTCTCAGATTGTTTCGCTTGAATTTTCTCGACGTGTAATTGCTTCTTTGCAGGCCTGGAACCGAGCCTTTTGGGCGACGCGCAGTGGGGCCTGTCTCGAGGATGTTTCTGTTTGATAATGAATTTGTGGATTATCTTTGAAACTTGGTGAGGCCACGCAGACGCTAACGTGATGGTCTGGAAATTGTTCGTTGAGCCGGCGGAGTGGCTGCTGAGCCTTGCGCTCCAGGGTAGGGATCCAGGGCATTTTGAGTCGGGGCATCGTCATTGGCGCCCATGCGAGTATTACAAAGGTGCAAACCGTCTCGCAAACGTGGCAGTGGACCTTCGACGATCAGGCTTCCGCATTCGTCTGGGCATAGATCTGGCCAAATGCTGCAGTGATCACGCTGTTCTTTTCTGGGCGGGCCGTGGCTAGCACCCGACAGGGGCGACGAGCTCGCAAGGGTTCGTCATTCGCAGAATGGCGCCCCCCCCCCCCGCTTGCGTCTTCCCCCAAATTGTTTGGGCGGTTTCCAGGCCGACGCAAGGGGGGTGATGGGAACTCCTATCTACCCTATTGGCTTTTCCAAATATATGGTCCGTTCACAGACTGGAGTTTCTGCTTTTGTGTTGAGGCTTCTTCTTGGGCGCGCTTCTCTAGCGTGGGCTCGCGTTGTATAGGGCCGTGCATGCGCATTCTCTCTGCTGGCAATTTGGTGCGAAAGCCGTCGTGGCGCAGTTGAAGGTTAATGGGAGTGACGAAATGAAATCTCATCAGCATCATCCGTCCCATGACCGTCACCATGACCATGGCCATCGCCATTATCTTCAACATCGGCACCATCACAATCAGCGGCATTAGCCTCACCATCAAACTTATCGTAATTGCCACCTTCATTTTGGTGGCCAGCACCATCATCATCACCATCACCAGCAGCATCCACGTCAACATCAACATCAACATCACCATTATCGTAGGCACCACCAGCATCATCACCAACATTAGCATCACCGCCACCACCATCAAACCACCATCATCTAGGTCATCAACACGGTCATCTTCGTAATCATTCTCGTGATCGTCATCATGCTCATGCTCATTATCAGCATCATCATCATCTGCATTTTTATCATCATTACCATCAACACCGCCACCATCCCTGTCATCATCATCACCACTTCCACCGTCGTCGTCATTACCATCATCAGCACCGCCACCGTCGCCACCACCATCCTCCTCCTCCTTATCATCATCATCCTCATCTTCAGACCCATCACCACCGACCTCGACATCCGCAACGTTAGCCTCACGACCATCATCAGCCTCAGCATCGCCACATCATCAGCATCAGCAACATCACCACCATGTTTTGCATCGCCATCACCGTCACCATCGTTATAACCAACATCAGCACCATCGTCATTGCCACCACCGTCGTCATTTTCAGCATTATCTTCACCGCTGCGTTGTCAGCACCAACCCTCCCATCAACATTCATCGCATCGCATCGTCGTCATCATCATCACCACCAGCGCCGTCATCACCATTATCACCATTATGTTCAGTATTCTCATTATCATTGCTATTGTTATAGGTGCTGTTACTACTGCTACTTATACGGCCAGTAATTACACCTACTCTAATTAATATCAATGTCATAATCGTTGTCGTCGTGTTCGTCGTCGTCCTCTTCGTTCACATCACCACTGTCATCGCCATCGCAATTTTTGTCACCACCGTCATCATCACCTTCATTACCACCATGGCCGTCATCGCCATCGTCATCATTAACAGCGTTGTCATCACCACCATCACCATCAACATCACCATCATCATCGCCATTACCTCTACCAGCACCGTCATCACCAGCAGTGTCATCATCACCACCAGCGCCATCATTATCTGCCATCCCTCCGACAACAGCGGCCTCGGCGCGGGGAGTTCTCCACCCCCCGCCCCGCCTCGTAGGAGCTGTCTCCCCGCATTGGTTGCGAACTTCGGTTCGCCAGGTTTCCAGCCTGCCGCGTCAACAGCCCCTGCGGTTCGGCCTTCCCCAGGCCCCGATCTCCCGAACGTTTTCCAGCGTGCAGCTGCCGTTGCGCGCCCGTTTCCTTTGGGGGCACGCGCCACAGGCCTCGTCATTTGGCGTCGCTCTTCATGTCAGCCCGTGATTACCAAGTGACTTCCCCCTCCCACGACTGGTGAGTACACCATACGGGGCTCGACATTACTTTGAAAGTGCTCGCGGGGGGGGGTCATCGCTGGTGCCGACGGGGTCATCGCTGGTGCCCCTTCTACACGGCAGTCACACAGCGGTTGACGTTCATGTGTGCAATACGTAAGAAGGAATGTATAGGTCCGAGGCGAAATCTTCCCCCTTGTCAGGCTGATTATTGACGTGCCCACAGTCGTCATATTTGTCGTCGTCGTCGGTGTCGTCGTCGAATGTCGTCGTCGATGACTTCCCACCCCCAGGGAGCATCCGCATTGCGTCGTCGACCGTCATCGAAGTCGTCGTCGACCACTGTGCCTTCGCAGCACTCTCCCGCCCCTTGGGGCATACGCAATGCGTCGTTGTCTTCATCGTCGTCGTCGTCGTCGTCGTCGCCGTCGCCGTCGCCGTCGCAGTCGCCGTCGCCGTCGCCGTCGCCGTCGTTGTCCTCGTCGTCGTCGTCGTCTTCCACAACTGTGCTGCGTTGCCGCTTCCCCCCCGTCGGGATCCGCACCGTTTCGTTGGTCTTCCGTCGTCGCCCCGTCGCCGCTGTCGTTGTCGACCACAACGTGCCTATGCAGCTCCCCCTGGGGCATCGGCGGCGCGCGTCGTCTGTCGTCCCGTCGGCGCCTTGTCGCCGTCGTCGAGTTTAGCGTGCCTTCGCAGTCCGCTCCGGGGGGGGGGAACTGAACGGGGCGAAAGGAGAAAGAGGGAACCCTTGCGGCCTGTACCTTTTTTTTTCTCCTGTTTGTGGCCATGTCGGCCCCGCCCGCCAGGTGTGACGCGCTTCTCCCCCGCTGTATCGGAACCGCTGTTGTCCCCCCCGCTGAAGCGGTGCCGCTTGCGTCGCGCCTGTCGCCTTCCAGCTGGCGGTTGGGCGTCGGTTCTAATCGCTGGCGCCGCCGTGATGCGTTTCCTTCTGGCGGGCGCCCTGCCGCGATCCCCCCGAGCAGGGATCATTTTTGAAATGACGCGCGTGGCTTGTTTTTGCTAGCCACAAACTGACATTGAACGGGTGGCGCGAAGGGGGCGGCCTTCTGCGAAGGCGGCGGGGATTCTAAGGAGGCTGGGGGACTTATGAAACACGAGTCCCGCTTTAAAAGGAGACTTTTTGTTGAACATCAATTGTAACATACCTTGCATCCAAAACAGCCCGTCCACCGTCTTATGAAGCGGCCGAGTCGTGCCACAACCCCGTTGGCGCCGCCGAATCAGCCGTGTCGGCTCGGCGGTCCCCAGGCCCCCCCCCTGCAGCGCGCGCTTGACGCGGCGCCGATGGCGCCCGCTGGTCTGCTGGCGCAGCCCGCCCGCACCGCCAGCCCGCGCAGCGCAGGCAGGCAGCTGGGCGCGAGGCTGCCGCCGACGTCGCCGGCGTCAATGTCGACGGCGCGCCCGGGGGGGAAGTGAAAGGGGGCAAGGCCTTCCCAGAAGGCGGCGGGGCGGATCAGAGACCCCTGCGCGTGAGCCTTCTCCCGATGCCGCAGACGGCTTCTCAGAAGGCCAGGGAGGTGTGCAGGCTTCTGAAAAGCCCCGCCGGCCCACGAGAGGGCCCGCTTCCCGTTCACTTCCCCCCTGGGCGCGCCGCCAGTCAGGGTCGGCGAAGGAGGCGGATGAGGTTTTCGGGGGACACGGTATTCGGAGGTTCTGCGCTTTTTTGTTCGGGGTCCCCTGTGTGCGACCCTGCCTTGCCCTCCCTTTGCGCGATCACCCTCCTTCCCCCGCTTCCTGGTGCCAGTGTGCTGCTTCGCAGTCCGATCCGGCCCTGCCGACTTGTGTGTCCGCCGAGGCCGTGGCGAAAATGCGTGCAGGACTGGGCACGTCCGCCGACGAGGCCCCAGGAGTGCCCCCAGACGCATCGCAGGGCACGTCCCCTGGCACGCCCCCAGACACGCCCACGAGCACGGTTCCAAGCACGTTCTCGGGCACGCTTTCGGGCACAAGCAGCGGCCCCTCACACGTGCTGGGGCACGCCCCCAGACAAGTTGTCAGACACGTCCCCTGCCGCGTCCCTTGGCGTATCCCCTGGCGCGGTCGCAGGCATGTCCCCGGACACGGCTCAAGGGACGCCTTCGGACACGCCTCCAGGCTCGTAGATTCGGTCCCTTCCGCAGGCAACGAATCATCATGTAAATCGAAATTGTCGTCTGGCGTGTTTTGATCCTATCATTGAAGCATCGTTGGGCCCGTCTGGTCATCGGGTGTCTTGGATTTTCTGGGGTATATGGGTAGTTTTTGGGTTTTTTCGGGGGCTGTTTTGGGCCGTGTTGGGGACCCTCGGGCTTTCTGAAACCGTCCAGAAGTAATACTAAACCGCAGAAGGCTTATTATCAAAGGGGCACAGGATATCCTCAGGCTTTTTGTTGTTGTTTTTGCCTCTTTGGCCTCTTTGTCCTCTTGGGGCTCTTGGGGCATCGTCACTGCTTCGCCAGATGCCCAATCGGACGTCTCTTGGGGGGTTTCTTGGGGCATCTTGGGGCGTCTTGGGGGCTTACTGGGGCTGCAGGTATCCTCCGGCCACCCTGAGATGATCTTGTTCGGCTGGGTCGTCGTATAGTCGTCTCTGGTGCGTCTGTGGTGCGTCTGGGAGCCGTCTCCCGAGGTCAGACCGAGCCGAGAGAGCAGACTCAGGGAGCGATTTCCGTGCTCCTCGCGAGGATGGGGTGGCGTCCGTCGCAGAAAAGTTGAAAGGCAGGCAGCAGGTAGTCTAGCACGCTCTAGGGTGCCAAAGGCATAGTGGCGGGCTGCTCTCAAACCAGGCAGAGGAGGAGGAGGAGGAGGAGGAGGAGGAGGAGGAGGAGGAGGAGGAGGAGGAGGAGGAGGAGGAGGAGAAGGAGGTGGACGAGGACGAGGACGAGGACGAGGGCCAGGGTAAATCCAGGATGCATGAGCGACGCTGCAGTACACCCTCTTGTCCCACGTCCCCTCCTCGTACGTCCCTACTCTACTGCAAGAAGCGCCCCCCTTCAAAGACCACCGCAGTTTTGCGTGCCACTTTTGGCAGGGCCCCGCTTGGAAAGGGAACTGCTGCGCGCCCTTCTGGCGCGTACAGGGGCGCGAGAAACTATGATCATAAGGTTGAACGATGTGTCCAGCGATATCCCCCTTTCGAAGAGGCCCCGGAGGAGGAGGAGGAGGAGGAGGAGGAGGAGGAGGAGGAGGAGGAGGAGGAGGAAGAGGTGAGGGGGCAGAGGGGTGGAGGAGGCCCCAGCTGACGGAAGGACGATCCAGGCTCGGCGACAGATGCGCTTTGGTGCCGCCCCGGATCCTGACCCCAGGAGGTCCCCAGAGGTCCAAGGAAGTCTTGAGCTCTCCCCCCTCGACCCTGAAGGGTCGAGGGCAAGGGCACGCAGAGGTGGTGGGGACGACCCCGAGATCCGACCTTGGGAAAAACTGCGACATCGCGAGGCATCACGACTGGAGCCCCAGACTCCATCTTTCGGCGCCGTTCGAGCTCGGTCGATCTGGGATGGTGCCTGAAATCGGGCGAAGACGCCCGCTGTGAAGAAACTGCAGCGCCCAGATCTCCGGGGAAGGCCCTGGCCAATCGTGCCAGAGCGGGCCCGCAGCAGCAGGAGGGTCGGGGGCCGAGGCTGCTGGAACTGGGCCGGCTGCCCGCGGGCGGCGCGGAGGAGCTCCTCGTCATCGAGGCCCGCGGGCCGCGGCGGCGGGCCCGCCCCGAGGGCCCGGGTGCCAGCAGGGCTCTCCGGCGTGCTTGGCGTCTGTGCTTCGATCTCGGCCTCCGGGGCCCGCTGTGGGGTCCCAAGACCATCAGCAACGGGCCCAGACGGAGCATGCATCCTCGGGGAACGTGTCGGTCGTCCACGCGCAGAGGGGGGTAAATGGGGGGGGAAAGGCTGCTTGGAAGCGCCCCTGCTTCTTAGAAGGCGCGGGCCTCGTCTGTAGACGTGAGGCCCGCGCCTTCTTGGAAGCCTTCCCTCCCCTCCCGCTACCCCCTTGTGCGCGCCGCCAAGTCGGGAGCTCTGGGGGCGCAGACTGAAACAAAAATCGCACCCTCGGATGTCTGTGGGGGGCTGCGAGCAGCCCGTCTGCGCCGGGGTGGCCCTGCTCTGTTTTTGAGCAGCCCGCTTCATGCCGCTTGTTCCTGAGGTCGGCTCCCCCCCTCTTGCACGGTGGTCAATTCGCTACAACGGTGCCCCCGTTTAGTTAGCTTCTTCCGCCAGCGCAAACGACCCCTGCCTAGCCTCCGTTGCAAAGAGTTGTTGCGATCGCTGACCGTGTCAGCAACGTGACTGCTGGGATGCGTCGTCGATCTGTTCATACCGGGGCGCTGAGCTCCGCAGAGTCATGGCGGGACACACGCGAAGACCTTGCACCCGACAGCGTTTCTTGGGCGCGCCAGCGGTACTTCAAGGTACCTTTGGGCGCCCAGGCCATGTCCGATCCTGGGGCATGGTCTGCTTGATCTGTCTCTCTGGGCCGCCTTTGGGGCTCCTGGTGTCCTCGTTGGGCCTTCTTGGGGCCCTCTTGGCCTGTTGCGTCTTGGGCCGTCTTGGGGCCAGTATTGGCACTCCTTGGGGCTTTTGGCAGGTGGATGATCTCTCAAGCTCTCCGCCGCCTCTGGCGTTGTGCGTTGCGAGCGGTGTGCGTTGCGAGCGTTGCGTGCGTGGCGGTGTGCGTTGCGTGCGAAAAACAAATGAGGGTCGTATTGGAGCTGTCTTGGGCTGTGGGCTGCCTCGTGGCTCTCCACCCGCCTCCGCGCGTCGTGCCGACATCGCGGCGGAGGGGGACCTCCAGGAGCGGCCAACCCGGCCCTCCAGAGGCCCTCTCCAGACCTCCTCGCCTCTGCAAAACGACAGAAACGCGGCGGAGGGCCTTTCGTAGTTTTCGTCGTGACCCTCTCCAGACCTCCTCGCCTCCTCGAAACGACAGACACACCGCGGGGGGCCTTTCATAGTTTTCGTCGTCTGGGTGCCCTTGCGGGGCCCTGGGCCTGTCCTGAAACGATCCAGGATGAGAAGCCAGTCCCAGGGAGAGGGATCAACGCTGTGGAAGAAGTCACGGCGTCGGGGGGCTCTTGGGGGGCGCAGTCGGCATGGGGATGGAGCTCTCGCTCTTCTTTGCCTTCTCCCCTTCCCGCCATTGTGGCCCGCTGCGGTAGGCTCGTGCCGTGGCGACGCGGCGGCGACCCCAGAGCTCGCTCTCAAGGTTGAGCGCCGCCGCCAGCGGCCCAGAGTCGGCCGACATCGAGCGATCCGCGCTGTCGGAAAGCTGCGATCGTTCAAAGGAGCAGCGATCCACGCGGTGTCAGAAACCCACGCCAGTGCCGTTTCGACACGAACCTGCCGTGCACCGACCTTGGGCCCAGGCTAGGACCAGTGCGCCTCGGCGTATAGCTGGCGTCTTTCTGCAGCGATGCCCGTCTTTTGTGTTGTTGTTGGGGGCCTCGACAAGTCATCTGGAGGGTCTGGTCCCAGCCTCCTTCTCTGCAGGACTGGCTTTTCATCCCGAGTCGTTGTCTAACGGTCCCAGTGCCTGGTGAAGGCCCCCAGAGGCCGAAAACTGCAGTCGCGTGTGGCGAGGAGGTCTGGGGAGGGCCTCGGGAGGGCCAGGTTGGTCGCTTCTGGACCGCCTGGGCCCTCGGGATGGCCCACCGACGGGGCGACTTGATTGCACGCAAGGGTGACCCTCCGCCGAAGTGACCCTGGGTGCGGGCCCAGCGGGATCCCCGATCGCGGAACGCGGTGCGGCAGCGGCGGCCTGCGCGCTTGGGCTTGGCCCCCTCGGGGGCCCCCTGAGATCGGAAGCCGCGAAACTTTTTTGATTCGCGGGTCGAGAGCGCATCTCTTCCGGTCGAAGTTTAGCGGGCCGCGCAGAGCTTGAAAGGAAGCCGCGAAACAAAGAACAGCAAAATCCATTTCTCGAGCCGGATCGACCCGTGAGCCCCAGGGTCCCGGAACTGGGCGAGAACGCCCGGGCGTGAAGAACAATTGCGACGCCAGGATCTAATGGCTCCCTCAAAACACGCACCAGAGAGCCGCTCTTGCCGACCATGAGCACAATGTCGCGGGGTCTTGTCGACGCCGATCTTGGTCGTGGTCCATGCTTGCCGTCGCCGATCCGCGAGGACCATCCATCCACGAAGCGACGATAACCAAGACCGACACCGACGTTCGCTCAGTTTTGGTCATGGTCCTCGTCATCCTCTCCCTCCATGCCGAAAGGGTCACTCTGGCGTGCACGGTAGGTTCGCGTCGTGTCGACCAGCAGCCACCCCGCCGCCAGCGTTCGTCGTTGAACGCCGCCGTCGACCCATTCGATGTCGAACGATTTGACGCTTCGGAAACGGCCGATCGTTCCAGATTGAACGATCCCCGTCCCGGGCATCCGGCTGCGATTTTTTCGATGCCCCATGCAGGGCTGGTTTTCCGCCCCGAGTCGTTTCTTGACGCTCCCGAGGCCCGGCGGGGGCCCTCAGAGGCCGAAAACGGCCCGAAGCCGCCTGCTCCACTTTTCTCGGAGCGTCGCATCTCTCCAGGGGCGGTGTCAGGAACCCTGCGCTCGCAGGCCTAGAAGTTCACACCGCCCACCTGGGTTGGTGTTGGTGCCAATTTCTCGGGGGCGGCAGAGAGGGGGGTGATGACTAGGGGGGGGTGGATATCATGGCGCGGGCCATGGTGTTTCCCCAGATTTCATGGCGCCTCTTCTTATTGAATCGCTTCGCTCATTCCGCCGGCCCGTGATATGGCATCGCTGGTTTTTGTCTGTGTGTTCGTTGCCCATGTTGCGCTCTTGGGGGCGGGTGTCGTTCGGACGCGTTGCGTGGGGAGTTTTGATGGTGAAGCAGTTCCCTGGGGGTCGTCTCTCGATGGGGCGAAATAGAGTCGTCGTCAAGATGCTTCTTTGGGGGGCCTCTTGGGGTCTGTTGAGAGGCCGTTCGGGGGCGCCTGGGAGACATGTTTGAAGCCTTCTGGGGCTTCTTTTGGGCCTCCTGGGAGTCTCCTGGGGCCTCTTGGCGACATCTTGGGGCCTCTTGGAGGCCTCTTGGGGCCTCTTTGGGACCTCCTGGGCGCCTTCTGGGACGGAGGGCTCCATTTTTGAGTTCTCGGTATCCCTCCTGAGTCCCTCTTGGGCCCGTCTTGGGGCCTCTTGGTCCGTCTTGGGCGGTACTTGGGCCGTCTTGAGGGCTCTCTTAAGTCGTTTCGGCGCCGTCTTGGGAGCTTCGTGGGCCGTCTTGGAGCGGTCTTGGGGGCCTCTTGGGCCGTCTTGGAGCGTTCGGAAGCTGAAAAAGCCAGAACACAAAAAACATAGAAACAAAACAATGAAAATCAACGATTTTGGCCTCTTGGGGCTCTCTTCGGAGGCCTCTTGGAAGGCTCTTGGGGCGTCTTGGAGGCCTCTTGGGCTGTCTTGGGGGCCTTTTGGGCCGTCTTGGGGTCATCTTCGGCGTCTTCGAGCGCTCTTTGGGCGTCTCGGGGGCCTCTTGGGCAGTCTTGGGGGCCTCTTGGGGCACTCTGAGCGCGCTCTGGGGAGCCTGGGAGGCCGCACCCAGAAGGAAAACTATCTCTGAGTAGACTTGGTCGCGCGGCGGTCGGGCGGCGACCGGGCGTTGGTCGGGGTACTTTTTGCCGGGGGACCCCCAGGGGCCGCTCCGCGCGGGCGAACTAGAAATACTGTTGATACTGTTAACCAGTTACCGGAGATCTTAGCACGCCCTGGCCCGTTGGGCCGGCGAATTTGTGTGTATTTATTTGTGTGTTCGTGGGCCCCTGCGGGCGATCGTGGGGAGCCTCTGCGGGCCGTCCTGGAGCGTCGACGGCCCGAGAAGGCGAGAGCGCGAAAGTGCGTCAAGACCGGAGGAACATCAGCGATGTCGGCCTCTCTCGAGGCCCTCCTTCGAGGCCCTCTCGGCGCCTAAAGGAGGCCTCTTGGAGGTATCTCGGTGCGTTTTGGGGGATCGCGCGGGCCGTCTGGAGGCCATCTTGGGCACCTCGGAGCGATCTCTCGGCGATTCGGGGCCCCCTCGGGCTCTCCTGCCGGAAAAGTCGTGCAGGGGCACGAGGGAAACCCCAAGAGCGCCCGAGAGCGCCTGGGGCTCGACGCCGTGGGCCCCTTACAGGCCCCCTCCTTCCCCTCCTCCTCCTCCCTCCGCCTCCTCCTCCTCCTCCTCCTCCTCCTCCTCCTCCTCCTCCCTCCGCCTCCTCCTCCTCCTCCTCCTCCTCCTCCTCCTCCTCCCCCTCCTTCTCCTCCCTCCGCCTCCCTCCGCATCCGCCTTCTCCTCCTCCCTCCGCCTCCTCCTCCTCCTCCTCCTCCTCCTCCTCCTCCTCCTCCATCTCCTTCCTCCCGTGCCCTCCTCCACCTCCTCCTCCTCTCCGGGTCGCCTACGGTCCTGGATGCGTCATGCCGGCGTCTCCATTTCTGGAGATGTGCCAGCGCAGGTTTTTTGTTTCTGGTCATTACTTAGAGTGCTCGGACGTGCGATCGTCCCAGTGTCGAAGGCATGGGCGTGGATACTAGTAGTATCCACGCCCATGCCTTCGCGGGCTTGGTTCCGAGGCGCGATCCGCTGGATACACGATCCTATGGATGCGCTCTGCGTGGGGTATCCGCGCAAGCCGCTTGGCATCCATGGGGCCGCGGCCACAGAGTCCACACCGAGAGGCCGTGGATATGGAGGTGTCCGGACGCAGCTGGGGCCCGCATGAATCGCCCGAGAGCGTTCTGGACCGCTATCAGCGCTTTCTGGAGCGCTCCGGAACGGCCGCAGCGCCCGGTGCGTCCCCCCCAAACCACGGGATATCAGAGGTCCCCGATGTATTCCGTTCCGAGTTTGTCCCAATCTTCGTTTTCTTCTTAACGGAGGAGGAGGAGGAGTAGGAGGAGGAGCAGGAGGAGGAGGGATGGTTTTGTTGATGGTGATTCGGTGGTGGCCATGGAGAGAGGAAAGCAAGTTAGGCGCCCTCGCGCCATATCTGTCATCCTACCTCACCCACCCATCCGTCTCATTGTGCTGGTTTCCCATCCCTTCCCTCACGCAATATTGGCATCTTACGCATCCATCATATATCCGCCGACGGATATCATAGCGAATTTGGAAGTCCCGAAAGGACCCCAGTCATGCGGAATGCCAGAAGTAGAGTTTCTTACATACATTGGACGAGGAGGTGGCGGATGAGCAGGAGGACGAGCAGCAGGAAGAGGAAGATGATGAGGAAGGAGGAGAGGAGACAGGAGGAGGAGGAGGAGGAGGAGGAGGAGGAGGAGGAGGAGGAGGAGGAGGGAGGAGGGAGGAGGAAAGAGGAAGGAGGAAGGAGGAAGGAGGAGGAGGAGGAGCAGGAGCTTTGTCTCTTGGTCTTCGCCCGCTGCCATTCTGCGGCTCACGAGCTCGGAGCCCTCGGAGCGCGGAGACCAGCGGCGGGCAAAAGCCGGCGTGCTCCCAGGCCGGGAGGGGCCCCAGGCTGGCACGGGCAGGGCGGAGGAGCGGGTGCAGAGTCAAGCATCGGGCCGGGCGAAAGGGGGGGGATTGGGAAAGGGGGGGTTACGAAATTTGCTGCATGCAGCTGGTTTTGGCCTCACCGAGGGGCCCATTCCTCGATACATAGCCTCTCGGCGCCGGGAGGCGCCGGGAAAATCAGCTACGTGAGCTGATTCTCAAACCCCCCCTTTGCTATCCCCCCCTTTTGCCCGACCCGAAAGCAGTAGCGAAGCTTTGCGGTTTGCCGATAGGCCTGCCAAAGAATGTTCTAAGGACCTGTTGGGGTCTGCGCGAAACGTTCTTAAGAACAAGTCTGGCCGAAATTGTTCTGTTTTGACACGTCGTGTTTGTGTTCCAAGAGCACGGTTTTTGAATTTAGACCAGTTTGGGGTTCTAAGAGCATTTCGTGGTAGGCCTACAGGAATGCCGGGGCCGTCGGTCCCTGCTCAACAGATGCAGACTTCTGGCGTCCCGAGACCGTCACGGCCAGTCGAGCGTGCAAGGTTGCGCGTTGGTGCCCTCGTTTTCCATGTTTCGTGCCGCGTCAGCGGCCCGCGTAAGCAACTGCGTAAGGTCGCCACATCATGTTGCGTAAGGCCCGTTTGTTTTCGGTTTTCGAGAGGGCGCCGTGGCCATTATTTGCCAGGCTTGCGCCCGCCAGGTTTGGGCCTCAGGTCGTTTTCACTAAACCACGTTTTGCTAAAGGGGGGTCTGTCCATCCCCGAAGGAGCGTAGTGCGGTCGCGGTCCCGCTGCTGGCCTGTGCTCTCGCTTTTTGTTTCTCGAGCTGAGGCAAAGGCAGTTGTCGGAGGCCTCGCTGTTGACACCAGCACCAAGATCGGCGGTGTGCCGCCATCGCGGGAGGAGGATCCCGATCTCGGTGATAGGGGGTCATATCCGGGTTTCCCAGGTGGCCGACCGATTGCCACCAACACCGACGTTTATATGGGATCATCCTCCCCTCGTGCGCGCACCCCCCCCGTTTTGGTGTTGGTGCCCACCTCCAAGTTTCCACACGGCTGGACGCAGTCCGGGGGGCAGGGCTGGTGCGCGTGGGCCCCCGGGGAGGGGTCGGGGGGCCGAGCTGGAGCCGTTGTTTGCCTCCGCTCGCCCTGCTCGGGGCCTCGTCGTCCGCTGCCGCCTGGAAACGGGTGGCCTTCCAGACTTGTGATGTTCCGGCCTGCTGTCGCCGTGCTCGCCAAGACTCGTCTCGAGCACCAAGAGAGTGCCCAAGGCTGGAGGGTTTTCAAGTGTCGTGCCCGGGGAGGCGGTACTCGTTCGACACTGCTTCGATGCTTTCCCGGGTGCTCGAGGTTCTTTCTGGGATGTGGTCCTTAAGTTTCAGTCGGACATGTCCTTCTATTGGAGGAATAGTCAGAAATAGTCAGGACATTTTCAGGGGACGATTTTTCATCCAAAATCTGCCTGTGGGAGGACATGCTCGACCTAACACTACCGCTTGGAGACGGGTGGCCTTCCAGACCCGGGCGAGCGCCGAAACCGTCGAGGTCTGGAAGGTTGTCCGCTTTCTGCCTCTGCTGGTGGTGTGCAAGGAGTGGGGACACATCGGCGATGAGGTCTACTCCTCCACCTCCTCCTCGAGTGCTGGAGGCGGAGAAGATGTAGGGAGCTGGGAGCGGTGAGCCCGTCTGGGCTCGTGCTCGCAGTCACCTGGCGCTGAACCCTCTGGGGCTCGTGCCAGGTGCCAGTAGCATTGAACCCTTCGGGGCTCGTGCTACTTCAACTGGGAGCGCTGAACCCTTCGGGGCTCGTGCTCGCAGTCACTTGGCGTTGATCCCTCCGGGGCTCGTGCCAGTTGCCAGTAGCGCTGAACCCTCCGGGGCTCGTGCTACTTCAATTGCGGGCGCTGAACCCTCCGGGGCTCGCGCCTTCAGTCCAGTAGCGCTGAACCCTTCGGGGCTCGTGCTACTTCAATTGCGGGCGCTGAACCCTCCGGGGCTCGCGCCTTCAGTCCAGTAGCGCTGAACCCTTCGGGGCTCGTGCTACTTCAACCGCGGGCGCTGAACCCTTCGGGGCTCGCGCCTTCAGTCCAGTAGCGCTGAGCCCTTCGGGGCTCGTGCTACCTCAACTGGGAGCGCTGAACCCTTCGGGGCTCGTGCTCGCAGTCGCCTGGCGCTGAACTCTCCGGGGCTCGTGCCAGTCGCCAGTAGAGCTGAACCCTTTCGGGGCTCGTGCTACTTAGTCGATCCGCCTCGTCTTGCCAATATTTTTCAATACCCTGGGCTACCGTGCTTGGGGGAAACTAACGCCAATTTTTTTTTTTGGTTTTGAGGGTTTGGTTGTAAAAAACCACTTCCGGGGCAGTAAAACGCTGGAGCGGGCAATCTGTGTGGCAAAACAATATCTTTTGCGGTATGAAATTGAACGGGCAGGCGTCGGAGGATCCCGGATCGAGAAATGTAGCTTTTTTTCTTGTTTTCTCACGGCATCGGGGCGTTGAAAGACGCCTTTGGCAAAAACATGAGAGGTGTAGACGCAGGGCACAACTCAAAACAATACATGTTTCTACGATGGTGTTTCGTGTTTTTTTTTTTTTGAAATGGGTTTTTTTTGATTGGGACCCTGGCTTCGAGGCCGAATGGAAGAGGTACATCGATCATGTATTGGAACGTGTGTTCTCGTTTTTCAGTTCTATAGCCGAACACATATGTTTTCACAATGTGGTTATGGTTTGGGACGCTTTTTGGAGATGTTTATTTTTGGTGAATGGGCCCCGGGCCGAATCCAAGATGGAAATCGATCATATATTGGAAGGTGTGTTTCGGATTTGGAATTCTATCGCAAAACACACATGTTTTATCATGTGGGTCCGGTTTGTGGCGCTGTCCGAAGATTTTTGTGCTTGTTGAGTAGGCCTTCCAATAAATCGCCCATTGATCTTTTGGATTCGGCCTCGGAGCCGGCATCGCAACAAAAAAACACCATCGACTGAAAAATGCTCAACCCGGAAACCCGTGCTGGAAATATATAGGTTTTGATATAAGAATCGGACCGCTGGGACCACAAGCGCACTCCTTCCAATATATGGTCCATTGACCTTTTGGATTCGGCCTCGGATCCGGCATCGCAACACAAAAACTAACACAAGCGACTGAAAAATGCTCAACCCAGAAACCCGTGCTGAAAACATATTGCTTTTGCTATAGGAATCGGACCCGCTGGGACCACAAGCGCACTCTTTCCAATACATGGCCCCTTGATTTTTTGAATTCGGCCTCGGCGCCGGCATCGTAACAAAACAATCCACCGTCTGAAAAATGCTCAACCCGGAAACCTGTGCTGAAAACGTACTGGTTTTGTAGAGTGAGGGGGGGCGGGGATGAGCAGGAGAGGAGGGATGGAGGCAGGAATAAAATAGAGGAAGGAGGTAGGGGGGGGTCTGTGTATGAGTAGGGCATATCGCACATCGTCGCCCTCAGCCTCTCAGCGTCACTTGGGTGCACCGCTTTCGAGGGTCGCGTCTTATTTGGAGACACCACCTACGGCCGCACTGGGAGCACCCGCAGGCGCATACATCGCCCATTGGGCACGGCCTCGCCCAGGTGGGAGAGGAAGGAGGAGGATGAAACGTTGCTGGAGGAAAAAGGTGGAAGACTCGGGTGTGGGCAGGACCTTCTCGCGTTCAGGCTGCTCGTGAAGGCCTTCGACAAGTACCGCAGGTTTGTTGAAGTTGTTTTTCTTTGTTGGTTTTTTCGTAGTTGTTGGGCTCCAGGGGCGCTATTCCGGGCCCTGGCCCTTTCGGAAATGAACCCAGGGTGACAATCTGCACCGGATGGACTTCGGGGGAGGTCCGGGAATTGGCGGTGATGATGTCTTGATGGCGAGCCCCGGGGGATAAGGGGGATGGAGTGGACGAGGGCCTGCTGCTGCTTGGGGTGGCGGCCCCATTTTCTTCATTTTGAACGGCTCAGCATAAGCGAAGCTCGTCGGTATTTCCCTTTCCTCCCTCTCATTCTTCTCCTCCCTCCTACCGCCTCCTCTCTTTCTTTTCTTTCTCCCTATTCCCTGTGCCTGCTTCCTGCCCCCCCTCCCCTCTGCATCCTCCTTTGTCCCCCCTACCTCGTGGAAGGCGTCGGAGGGTGACATAGCGCACACCACATTGATTGTGCACACCACATAGAGTGTCGCCATCCCGCAGACGTTGCGCCACGCAGAGTGCGCCCGACACAGTCCGAACCACATAGACTGCAGCACATTGATTTGACGATTTTTTTGTGTCCCCCCACTCCGCATTAGGTATGGGCCGTTCTGGGAGCACCCAGAAGCAGCGGCAGCAGGCGTTTCGCGGTGCTCCGTACGAGCGCCCGCCCGCAGTGGCAGAGCGTAAGGCGCCACCGGGCCGGGCGCTGCCGCCGCCGCTCACACCGGGCCCACTAGCGCCGTACGCGCGCCCGCCCTTGGGCGAACCTGTGGCCGCGTCGGCTGGGGTCGCAGCGGGACTAGCGGGGAAGGCAGCTCCGGTCTTGCGGGGCACAGCGTCGGCCCCGCGTCCAGCCGGGCGTGTGGTGGCGCCGATCGGCGCCGACCGTCCGCTTCCGGAGACTTCCTCGGCGTCGGCGCCCTCGCCGGTCGCGCTGTCGCTTTCGGGGAGCCCGTCGGCGTCTGCGCTGCCGTCTGGCGCGGCGGCCCCGACGGGACCCCCAAGACGGGGGTTCGGGCCGTCGTGGTCGTCGGGAGTGCCTGTGTCGTCGGAGCAGTGGGCGCTTCTGGACGAGGGCCAGCAGGAGTGGGTGAGCTCGTACATGGGCCTCATGCCCAAAGACGCTGTTCCAGTGAAGCTTCCGTACTTCGGGTGGATTACGAAGCTGGACTGTTACACCAAGCCGGGGAAGCCCGAGGTTTTGAGGGGCAGGGAATGCGTGTCCGTGCAGTTGTGCGTCTGCGCTGCTCCGGTTGCTCCAGGATTCGTTCGGCTTCGTCGGCGGGTCTCGAGGTGACGGTGGCGCAGAGGCACGACGGGCAAGAGCACCAGCATTCCTGCGCAGACGCACGTCGCGCACGTGGCGTGGCAGGCGGAGCAGTGCAACAGCGCCTACAACGCCAGCGAGGCGTGGAAGGCGATGGGATCGCGTCGCGGGGCGCGCTGTTGGGGCCGCCTTCGTCCCCAAGGTTTGCGGGTCCCTGGGGAATCCCAGAGGGTCGGAGTTCTCGGGTTTTTTTGACGGCAATGTAGACCAAGAGGCGTGCAAAGGGAGAGTGCGCGGCGCTACTCAGGCGACGCGGCCCTTTGCCGACCACCCGGCGCAGAAGGCGACCGTGGCGCGGCTGTCCGGCGTGGTAGACGAGGACTGGCCGCCGCGAGTGTGAGAGAGATTTATGCGTGAAGTCGTCGTTGCTTGCAGATTGTCCTTGTTGTTGTGGTGATAGGGCACGCGCGTTGTGGGGAGTGCATCGCGCGCCGCGATTGTTTGGGGGGGGGCACAGTCGAGGCAGCTTGTCCGGCTTCGCCGCCAGGCGCTCTGGAAGCGGCTAGACGTCGCGATGAAGGCAGCGGAAAAGGGCCCCAAGTCCAAGAACGTCGTCTTCGTGAGCTTCTTCCAGAGCTCGCGCACGGTGATCGGATGTCGAGACAACCTGTTCATTGCTTCAAAGAGACTGATCGGTGCTTGCGGCGTTCCGCCATCCTTACGGGGGGGGTCCACCGTGCGCGCGTGCCGCGTGCGCGCGCCTGCGTGTCCTCAGGTGAAAGACCGCAAAGACGACGACGGGACTCGGCTCGCAGACCTGTACCTGCCCTGCCACAAAGACCTCGCGCTGGAGAGCTGACAGGCGACGCAATCGGGGAATGGAGGACGGAGGGTTTCATGTCCTCTCGTCGTCCGTCGTGCCTTCTGCATCATTGAGCTCGTCGTCGTTCCTGCCATCGGCATCATCGCCCCCGTCGTGCCAGTTCGTCTGCATCTCAGAGTTCGCAAACATGTCTGCTGATTCCTATATCCGTTATGCATGTTTCCCGAGGTGGCACCTTCCGACGCCTTCTGTCGGGGTTGCCAGTGTCAGACGACTCGTCGTTGTTATCATCGGAGGCAATCATGTTTTGCCCGCCGCGTGCAATACTAGTGCATACCATTGCAGTTTTCTGTGCATATCTCGTCAGTGCAGAGTTGTCTGTGCACATCACCGCATGTCCTGAGCTGCTCAGTTGGTAACGCATAGATTGACACGATGTGTGCCTCTGAGGGCCCTTCTGGGACGCCGCTTGGGAAGCTCTTCGGGCGTCTTGAAGGCTTGTTGGTTCGTCTTGCGGCCATCATTCGCGTCTTGGGGTGATCTTGGTGTGTCTTGGGGCAAATCACAGTTCGAGGGTGCGAGGGGGGCCGTCAAGTGCGACATATCAGGGCTCCACGGTAGAGAGAGCCGCGAAGGTGCATTGCATCGGGCGCAATTGGCACGTTGGCTGTTCGCGGCATTACATGCTTGTTCTCACATCGCCGTTTCAGCCCTCAGCGATAGCAGTGCGTATCTTTCACGCGGCCCCAGCCATTCCTACATCACTTTTCCATACCAGCTCTTCCCTCTACCTGCCACGCCATGGCCGTTGCCGCGTCTAGTGCCAGTGTTTTCAAGTCAACAGTGGAACAGTTCGTGGACTCCGTCTTCGCCGCCGCCAACGACGGGGGGGGGAACCCTGTCATTTTGTCACCGGGGGCAAGCGGCTTGGTTGTGCTGTTCCAGGCGGAAGGCGTCGAGGTGTCCGAGTGCGCCATCGAAGCGGTCTTCCAGAAAAACGGATGGGCCCCCGAGAAATCGCTCGCCAAGACGGAGTTGCGTGCTCTCGCAGGTGAGTTCCAGACCTCGTTCACGGCTGTTCTGGGCGACGACGCAGCGCCTTCGGGCGCGGAGGAGCGCAGCGTGGTGGTGGAGACGATTGCGAGTCGCCTCAGCCGCGGCACTTTCCCACCGGTCCTGCCGACCGATTTTCAGGATGCAGGAGAGGCAGCGGGTGCCGCACAGACCTGGGAAGCAGTTTTGGAAGTCGAGTACGTCGAGCTGCAGTCGTTCATCGACGCACACTGGGCCACCTACCGCGAAACGTTGCCGGCAAACCCTTTAGCGAGTGAGGACACGCGGCGGGCAGAGTTCATGCACGACAAGTTTTACGACTTGTGCAACGACTTCCAGTGCGCGCGTTCTCTGGAGGAGAGGAGGTTCCGCCATCGCTACCAGGGCGACGTGTTTCTGCCAGTGATCGCGGTGGCGAGCATTGGCTGTGAGCTGAAGAGAACGGACGCTGCGGAGACTGTCGGCGGCATGACTCGCGACCTCATCGACGCGCTGGACGCCGAGCTGTGGTCCAAGTGGGGCGACGCCGAAAAGGTCGCGAAGTACACGAAGATGAGCATGCAGGACCTCTTCAGGAGGTTCCTGCATGAAGAGTACTTCTTGTCCATGCGCGCAGTCGTGCAGCAGAGCTCACTGCAACAGAAGAAGTTTACTCCGAAGGTGTTGCCCGGGGACGTCCCAGGTGGTGATGTCGACGTGCTCCAGGCCATCGTCGACCGCATGGTTCCGGAGGACGGTGCGGCCGTTGAGGCTGTCGTTGAGAAGTTGTGGCAGGAGCGCTTGTCTGCGGTTCTGCCCAGCATGCGCGCGTTCTTGCCGTCGGCCCCGTCGATGGACTTTTGGGCCGAAACTTACTACGTCGTGGCCTCGGAGATCGTTGGAAAGCGGGCGATCGCCTTTACTCCGAAGGTGCTACCCGAGGACGTCGCGGGCGCCGACGTTTTCGCTCTCCAGTCCATCGCGGACCGCATGTCTGCGGACGACGGCGCTGCTGTGGAGGCCCGCGTGGAGGAGATGTGGCTGCAGCACGTTTCCGCGCTGCACCCAAGCATGCGCGCTTTTTTGCCGAAGTCGCCGTCGGAGGAGTTTTGGACTGAGACGTACTACGTCGTGGCGGCGGAGGTACTGGAGGGTCGGGTGGCTGCGCGCGCGCCAGCGTCCATGCATGCTGGGACGCCCGCGGCCGCGTCCGCTGGCTCGGGCGCGCGAACGCTCGCGGCGTCGCTGAGCCTCAAGACGGCGTGCGGCGGGGCTTCGTCCAGTCCGGCGAGCAAGGTCAGACGAACCGAGGGCTCAAGGCTGAGCCACGGCGAGTTGGGAGTCGAGGGGGTGTTGGGCGATTTGTCGGTGGAGGTTCGAGCGGCGGCTCCCCGGGCCGATGCCGAAGAGTACATCGGTAGCATCGCGGTGTATGCAGATCGCAGTGTGGAGGGTTATTTCGTGTACGAAGGGTACGCGCTGGCGCACGACGACAAGCCTCGGCCCGTCGGAAAGGGGGACGCCGGGAAGTCGCCATCCAAGCGCAAGGCGAGCGCGCCCGAGAAGACGACGATGGCCATGGACGTGCTCGTCATGGACCGCACGGGGCCTCTTATCCTGACCTTATGGGACGACGCCGTGAAGCAGTTCTTAGCAGAAGTGGCCGCCAAACAGACGGGAGCGAGGCGGGGCGGGCGGCCAGATCAGCAGCAGAAGCCGATCATTCGCGTGACTAACGTGCGGGTGAGCAGCTTATCCCCGAGCGACTGGAACGGGGCCATGGTGACGCCGATCCGCACGCTGCACACGAGCTCGGCGCGGAGCCCGCTCATGCCTGAGACCAAAGTAATGGCGCTCGTGACGGCGTCGTCTCCCTTCATGGCTCCTGGGCGTACGTACGAGGTGCCGGCTCACGGCGTTTGCGTCGACTTCTTCGGCTTGAAAGACAGGTTGGAGGCACCATTTCGGGGAACATTCTCCGGCGTCGTGACAAGTGTGCAGGAGATGGGCGCGACGACTGCTGGCAGTCCGAAGCGCGCGTTTTGCCTGGTGGATCCTGCAGGAGCCTTCATCCAGTGTTGCGCCGTGGGCCATAACGCTGGCAGTCGGGCGCTCGCCGACGGCATGCGCGCCGTGGTCTACCATGGGACAGGGCGGGGGCCCATTGGTAGCGCCCCGGGCATGCTGTACCTTCTCAAGGACGCGCTTCTCATGCCCGTCGCGCAGGTCGACGTTGTCCCGGAGCCGACCATTGACATCGCCATCAAGTGACGGCTTAGGTGTTGCTGTAGATGGCAGAATCTCGTGTTGCTGGCGCCTTTGCGCGACCTGTGCGATCAAGTGCTGGGAGCTGCGTTGCGTTGGCTATTGCAGGCTCGAGGTGGTGGCCTCTTTGATCGCCCAGGGCTCGGGCGCGCCATGGTGCTTCACTCGTCTCGGGCTCTCCGACGGCAGGCCGAGTGCAGAGTTCGCCGTGTTTCTGTAGCATAGCATCACAGTCCATCCATTTCGAATAGTGCCTACTCTGGGCGCGCAAGTAGTTCTGGATGTCGTCTTCAGTTATCTTGTTTTTTCGGCACTGTAGTGAGATTTTCTACGGAAGCGAGCGTCGCAGATGCCTCGCTGGACGATCATCTGCCTCATGGCACACCGCGCGCGTTCTCTTCGGCGCTCAGCTTTGCAGCGCTCTGTAATCTCATGCAACGTGAGACCGAGCGGTCGATCAGCGGCCGCCCAGCTTGAATGTCTGGTGCTGCAATGATGTGCAGTTCATGCGCTCGCATTCTTTCTCAGAGTTTCCATTGCTGGTCGCCATGCATCGAGAGGCGCTCGCATTCTGTCTCAGAGTTGTGGACTTCACCGTCGGCTCTGTAATCCCAGTGCCAATGTTGCGCTTGGGCGAAAAACTTGACGCTGTATCCCTACATATGTTTGCATCCTGGGCCCTTCCCACCCCGCCTCCCTGCCTCTGTGCATCGGTGGGTTTGAATTCTTGACGCTTCGCGTTCTCTGCCAGTCCATCCAGGAACAATGCTCAGGAGAGCTGACGGCAGAAAGAGGAAAAGGCGCACATTGAGAAACAGCGCGGGCACCAACGATGAATTGGGAGATCTGGTAGCGAAGGGTGCGGGTGCTGCTGCAGGTGTTGTCTGTTGCTGGTGTTGCTGGGCTTTGTGCTGCTGGTGCTGTCTGGGCGCTATTGGGGCCCTCTTGAGCCTGTCTTGGGGCTCGACGCGCGCCCAGTCGCGGCGACGAGGAGGGCCCCTAGATGGGAAGAAAGCCTGCAACTTCGATCTTCGAGGATCGGGGTTCCAATATTGGCGCCACCCCTTCCTTCGACATCGATGAAATCCGCTCTACATATGTCTTCAGACTTCTGGCACGTTTCCTACGGCACAGTGTTTCACGAGGAGGAGGAGGACGAGCAGGAGGAGGAGGACGACCAGGAGGAGGAGGACGACCAGGAAGAGGAGGAGGAGGAGGAGGAGGAGGAGGGGAGGGGGAGGAGTACCAGGAGGAGGAGGAGGAGGAGGAGGAGGAGGAGGAGGAGGAGGAAGAGGAGGAGGAGGAGGAGGAGGAGGGAGGAGGAGGAGGAGGAGGAGGGAGGAGGACGAGAGGACGAGGAGGAGGAGGAGGAGGGGGGGGGGAGAGTACCAGGAGGAGGAGAACGAGGAGGAGGAGGAGGAGGAGACGAGGCAGGAGGAGGAGGAGGAGGAGGAGGAGGAGGAGGAGAGAACACCAGGAGGAGGAGGACGAGCAAGACGAGGAGGACGAGAACGAGGACGACCAGGAAGAGGAGGAGGAGGAGGAGGAGGGGAGGGGGAGGACTACAGGAGGAGGAGGAGGAGGAGGAGGAGGAGGGAGGAGGAGGAGGAAGGAGGAGGAGAGGAGGAGGAGGAGGAGGAGGAGGAGGAGGAGGAGGAGGAGGGGGGGGGGAGAACACCAGGAGGAGGAGAACGAGGACCACCAGGAGGAGGAGGAGGAGGAGGAGGAGGAGGAGGAGG